TTTCTATCACGCTGCACTTTTATTATTCTAAATTAACTAAACAATGAAATAAGAATTAAATTGATTTAATCAATTCATTTCTCTACAAAAAATAACAGAATGATAAATTACGACCATGCATAATTTTTTATTTTTTACCCCGAAATTTTGTACCTAATTTTCGTGTAATTGGCAACAACAGATTTATGTTTGTGTGTGTCTCATCACATGCAGTCGCCATTGTGCCTTGCTGCGATGTTACTGTTTATGTTCCGCGAGCGTGTGTTGGTACGGATCGCTCGCGCATTCGGCTTAAAAGTTTTATTATAAGTAGTGTTGTTAAGTTTTATTAGTTATGTAGTGTGTGAAGCTGAAGTGTAGTGAAGTTTTGTTGTAGAAATTGTGCGAAATTACTACCTAGGTACGTTTAGCGCGCGTGATTATGGGGAGATGATAATGTGTTGTAGTAGTGTAGGTATCCTGACCGTCGGCATCCATCAGACTCCAGGATAATTACTGGTGACTATCAACGCTTGCTAGAAAACCAGCCCATTGTTCCCAGACAAAAAGGCGCCGGAAGACCAATACCTACGTGGATTTTGGAATTGGTTCGCTAACGTAACGAGACGCTACCACTTACCAGTGCTTTCCTATTTAAACGTAGTTTAGGTAGGTTTGGACCGCAACCGTGGCCAGCACGATCCCCAGACGTAACCCATTTGGACCCCTTTTTGTACGTAAAAGAAAAAGTGTTTGTGAGTGCGTGTGCAAGTGAGTACGAAATGCGAGACCGCATCACAAATGCTTTCCAGAGCCGGAAACCGGAGCGATTCTAAGGTACCTACGCATTTTTCTTTTTTTATCATTTATCAGTTACCATGTTATGATTGTTAGATTTTCTTTTGTTAGTAATGCGGCTATCTTTTAAATAATAATTTATTGTTATTAAAAAGTGGCGCGAGAACGATTATTAAATTGTCTTTTGTAAGTAACGCGGCTATCTTGTAAATAATAGTTTATTGTTATTAAAACGTGGCGCGAGCGCGACCGTTTGTCCGAAAGGTAAGGTCGCGGCGCTGCCTATAGTGTAAAGTAATAATACTAAAAGCGCTGCCGTTCGCTGCGTGCGTTTGCGGTGGTAGCGATACATTGCGTGTAAGGTAATGAAACAAATCGGTTTAACTGGATTCCCATAACGTTCCTGAAATAATTTCATGTACCGGTCAACTTAAGACGATATACTGAATCTACCCTATCAGTTTGCGGAAGGCTGTCCCTTACACCCTGTATAGTATATTGTGTGTATTTCCATCAATAAGCTTACACGCGTCAACGGTTTTAAATAAGTACATACTTCCACAATAGAATTGAATACGCGTTCGTTACAACAACAGCTAATACAAAAAATGTCACGAAAACGTAAATTTGTAGAAAAATTAACTTCGTCAGAGACATGGTTGAGAGTTTTTCTCGTTTTACAAGCGCTGACCGGTCGATATTTTCGTTTGAGTCAATCAAAATACATGCGTTTCTTATTAAAACTGTACTGTGTGCTTCTGTGTTTAGCCATAAATATTAGTTTCATCTTTCATCATCGATTTGGTTTGAACCTTGCTACGTTCATATTTTTTCATTATGTTGGCAACGTTATCATCAACCTCATCGACCCCGAAGATAATTTCTTTATTTACTGCAGTAACTTTAAAACTATTGACAGGATTATGGGTTTTAAGAAAATACCTTTGTTCCCTAACTATATTTATATTCTAGTTGTATTTACTTTTACTTGTAGAATCTTGATCTTGTCACTACGATTCAGCATCGCTTTTGCAAAATATGTCGATAAGTTGTATGTCTTAACTCAACTCTTGGCTGTGGATTTAAGTTATTTGTTCATTTGCTTGATATTCTCTATAGTTCATTGTCGAATGCGGTTTCTGAGATTTCATTTAGAGAATATTTGTATTCCTGTCAATGTTATCGGGCGTAGTGATATCGGCAGTAGTGTTAAAATGATCAGAAAAAGTTTGTATTACTATAATAATTTGTTGGATAACATGCAGCTTATCAACAAGCATGTACAACATTTGGTAGTGTATTTTTTATATTTTGACACGTTTAACATACAAAAATGCGCAAACACATAAACTAATTATATTACTTACTTTCAGTATTGTGTCAACTTTACCATTAGTTTACTTTTGCTGTTCTTTGTAGTACATAGATCAGTGGTAGTTTATTCGATGGGGGTAAGTTTTTTTTCTATGACGATTTTTACTAAGGCACATTCTTAGAGTTAAAAAGTTTCGATAGAGGATGAATTTAAGGTCAATAAACGGAAAATAATGCAACATGCGAAATACTTTGTTTTTCTCTGTCGATTTGGAGTTGATCTGACTAGGATTTTAGGGCATAATTTGTTTATATTACAACGTTCCGGGGCTGGCCGGGCCAGAGCCGTTAAACTCAGCTCACCAACAATGAACGCCGTGCCCCGAACGAGGCCCGATGGCGAACTTCCGAACTTCATATAAAAACGTAAAAGTACTTAAAATAATTTTCGACCGTGCCACAGGCTGGTCGCGACACAATGTTTTTTAATGTAATGTGACGGCAAACGAGTATATGGATTGCCTGATGGTAAGCAATCAGCGCCACCCGCAACAGCAGAGGAGTTACGATTACGTAGCCGACCTTTTGGGGATAAGGAATTTGGAGACTTTGGGATTGGGAGAGGGGAAGGATTCGGCCTTCGGTAGCTTCACTCACTCGGTGAAACACAACGCTGTGGTTGTTTCACGCCGGTTTTCTGTGAGGCCGTGTTATCACTTCGGTCGAGCCGACCCATTCGGGCCGAAGTATGGCTCTCCCACATTTATGATGTTGCATAAATCATACTTAAGGCAAATGTTAAATTTGGTGAATTATTTTATCGATAAGTATGTTTTTTTAGGCTTTTTCAACAATGTCGGTTTTATATGTGACTGAGTCGATCCAAACATTGTTATTTTTAACGTACACAGCGGTTATTGCTGAAGCCATACAGTATGAGGTTGACAACATACGAGAGACACTCACTAAGCAACATGTGAGGTGCTCGGGTGAGAATTGTACTACTAATATTATAAATGTGAAAGTATGTGAGAATGTATGGATGTATTTTTTCTATTCATCCACTCAAAAACGGCTGGACAGATTTGGTATGTAGATAGGTATATATATATAGGTGATAGGTACCATGGCATCGCAGCCTAGAGCAGGAGAAAGAACTGGGCGGGGAGTTTAGTCAGTAAGAGTCTGACACTCCTTCTTGTCTCAGCGGGATTCATTTGATGATTTTCAAAAAAAAAAACAACTCCAGCCTGGAGCAGTATTATTTTCTAACGTTGACAAATCTTTTAAGCTCGTTCTGACTATAAATGAGTGCATGAATTAAATATTAAAACATTCTAGAAAGGATAAAAAGTCTTTCTTTTTCAGATGGTTGCCTAAGGTTCCAGCTAGAGATTGCGCTGCAGTACGTGCGCTTGCGCCCCTTTAGTTACACCATCTGTCGCGTGGTGCCGCTCAACATTTCTTTTCCAATCTCCATTGTAGGTCTTTGTATCACCTACGAGATTGTTACCATGCAACTGACACGTGAATTCTTTTAGTGTAATTCTGTTATATCTGGTATATCCATTATAATTGTGCATTTATAATGGATGTTCGGGTTCATAAGGTTTATAATATTAGTTGGTTGAGAGTTTGTGATTTTTTATTTGATTCAATAAATGCTTACTAATTAATAACAATATAGGATTTAATTTTCGAGGGTCGAAAATTTTTAAGTCTCTTAAGTCACCCTGGATGGATCATCAAGAGCGATTGGCACATTCTTACTGACTAAGAACTTCCTCGTTTCTTTGCCTGCTTCAGGCCAAGGCCACGGTACCTTATGGAGCTTGACCTGCAACCTCGACGTTGAGCAAAATATTACGAATGTAACCTTTTCCATTACTACCTATATATGTATAATCTGATTGATACAAAACGATAATCTTGAGTACTTCCACACTATAAAAAAACCTTTTTTTAAAGTAGATAGGAAAAAGAAAAGAAAAAAGAAAGTAAAACAGTTTATTAGTAGACCGTGACAATTATAACAAATACAAAATAATAGTGAAATGAAACGTCATCAAGCCAACAACAGCCTGTGCTCAGCTAATTATTACCTACTGTGCTCAGGGCACGATGGATCGAGTCCACACCTTTATAACTTACAATGCAACAAACCAATGATTAAATGGAGTGCCTGTCTACAAATTAATTATTGATGGATTTAAGATGAGAATTTTACAGAGACACATCACACCTAGATCTAAAGAAACTATTTGCGGTATGATCGGTAGGTACGATTGTTAACTAGCGACCCGTCCCGGCATTGCACGGCTGAGGAATTTCTCCACTATTTAATTGACGTTATTATACATGTTAACCTTCCTCTACAATCACTCTATTTTTTTTATGGAATAGGATGCAAACGAGCTTGTGTGTCACCGGATGGTAAGTGATTGGCGCCACCCATGGACACCTGCAGCACCAGAGGAGTCACCGGTGCGTTGCCGGCGTTTGAAGAAGGAGTGCGCTCGTTTCTTGAATCTATCAAAATCATCATCATCATCAGCCTATAAGTGCTCACTGTTGAGCAAAGGCCTCGAGCATTAATTACCACGCTTGCTTAATGAATTATAATAGAAATTGCAAGTCCAGGTTTTCCCACGATGTTTACCTTTACCGTATATTGTCAGTGGTGTCTTAATAATCATAGAAAGTACATATAACTCGGAAAAAGTCACATTGTCAGGTTTCGGAACCACAACCTCATGCATGAGAAGCGGCTTCAAAACTTCCGGGTCACCACGATTTATCTATAACAAAAAAGCCTCAAAATTCGTTGCATCGTTTGAAAGATTTAAGCATACATAGGGACTTAGTGACAGACAAAGGGACTTGTTTTATACTATGAAGCGATCTCCAAACTAATTAGCAAAATGGCGGAATTGGGTGAAGATGATGACGTATGTGATGGAGAGGCTTATCAAGCCAATCGGCATGTTGATGTCAATCGGCACCGCGTTGAGCAGCATGAAGTTAAATGGACGTCTATGTATGTGCTGCAGGGCCGTCTCCAACTCAGAACGGAGGGATTGGTCTGAAAATATAGAGTAAAAAAATAGCTGATGTAGGTAATCCTAGTCTTTTCTTAGATTTAATGAAAGTATGTAGGTAGTAGGTCATAATTTCGGTCAAACAATTGGTTGTTAATAAAAATAGTATAGTATTTAACAAAAAACGCGAATAAGCAGTAATGGAACTGATCTATTGAGATCAGTTTCGGAATTGTACCAAGCTTGTGCACGATTGGCTTGACCAGAGAGTTACCACGGCCTCACAGAAAACCATCGTGAAACAACCACAGCGTTGTGTTTCGCCGTGTATGGTTACCGGAGGCCCAAACCTTATTACATTATTGAGCTGGCACACCACGGTTATATTTTATAAAGGGGATCTCTTTTCACGGGATCTTTGACCTTTGGAAGGCGTACCCGAAGCCAACTTGCCCTTGAACAGTTTTATTCTAAATGTTATGGGACATCAGCCGGCAATTTTCTTTTTGTAAATTGCACTTAAGGACTATTCTCGGTTGATGCAGGACTATTGTGATTGGAGAAAATAATATGGCTATCATATGGATATGGGTTGTTATGGACTAGTTGGCTTGATAACTATGAAAATACTAGCCCCGAAATTATTTTTATCATTACCTGAGCATCGTATTATCTGCATAACAAGTATAGTTTTGATTCTATCGACCTCGTCTTTGACCAGTTCGACGACCACACCCGGTATTGACATCATTGTTACGGTTGCGATCACCTCCGTTAACATTAACACTGTTTTCTCTAAATCACTCTGTAATGGGGTAGTTTCATAGGTTATTAAGACATCTTTAATAGTCCCATGGACCAGTTCAAGAGTCTTACTTATTAATCAACAATTAATAATAATAACTTTAAATAGTTTATCACCAGTGTTTTTTATAAACAGGTTCAGTAGTAGCTTTGTTTTATTTTAGCCTAAATAGCATAATTTCCTATGTTTATAATTTTTTGATAATTTGTGGATAACTTTGTGGGCTGCATTGTTACATCGAGTTTCGTTTATAATGGCTGTGCAAACTATTCAATTTTATAATGTAGCTGTTTATAGTCTCTACCCAATAAAATAAAATTAATAATGATGGTTGCCATCATGAAGGTTTTAGTGTGGTTAAAAGCCGAAAGTCCAGACGCCTTTTGAAGACTTCTTAATTCATTGAAGCCAACAATAGTTTTGATTTGATCAACAATAAATTCATATTAGAAATACGAGAATTGAAATGAATATAAATCATTTTTTGAGAGACATTTTTTGTGGATTCAGACTAAAGTCATATAACATAGCTTTACACATACAAAAAAAATTCGTTCAATCGGTTCATTAGTTACACCATTCCACTTTACGAACCTACATACATAGATTGCAAGTTAATTAAAAGCATTTAAAAATACTCACACCTCTTATCCAAAGTTTTATTACAAAATGTAAACCACCGACGCATCTTGGAAAACTACATATCAAGTATAAGGAAACCTGTAAATTAAACAATGTAATATATAAGTTCTACCAGCACACAGCAACAATTACAACATTTACAATACGGTAGTTTGCAACTAGTCAAATTCAATACTTTTATCAAAATGTCAAAAACTATACTTTTCTATGAAATTTTTGTATATTATAACGTCATGGTATTTTTGATATGTGTCATTTATTTCTGAAAAATAGCTAAATTTAGTATCGACAGATCAATGAATAAAAGTTATTTATTTTTCAATATTTTATTTTATTGAAAAGTCGGATTAATTTATTATTGACCTAGAAAATTACCAAATTGCGTATTGCAATACAAAAAAACGTGTCAGGATCATGTGGCGATGTTTTCATAGTTTGAGTAATATGTATGTTTCCACCCACGACACTAATTGCTCGTCGGAGAATCCAGCAATACTCGTTAATTGAGCAGGTTGTAAGCTGAGACATATGGCCTACCGACAGAAAGGGTCCACTCAAATTGGTGTGATTGTTTCCTCAAAAGTCAACTATAGGTATAGAACGAATTTGCACGGTTCTTACATATAATTTAATGTTAATAGGACTTAAAACTGATGTTTGTTTCAACATTTCTTTCATCTTTCTATTTCATCTAGTTAAAAATAAAGTTTGGTTTTTCTGCGAGAATAAAGTTACCGGAGACCTAAACTCCTCTTAAAAGTCGGTAACTTGTAATTTCTCTTGGTATTGCCAGTATTTATGGACGGAGAACATAGCTTATCATAGGGTCACCCTTCTGCTCCTTTGCTTCTTTATATTGCGTTATTAATAAACTAAATAGAAATATGTAAAGGGAACTCACCAAAAATTGCAGAGTCGGATCAATCCTGTACATTCCATCCAACAAATTATTATAATACCCCAAGCATTTCCTAACAACTTTCAAATTATTTTTTATCTGATCTTTACCAACAATGTTAATTGGAACGAAATTATTTTGAAAACTTTTCCTTGTTTTTACCATTCTAGTACACAAAGAGGATAAAATAAAACTAATAATAACAGGACTCGTATCTGTGAGAGTTACTATTAGTATTATAGACATTTCAGACCCCTTAGTTATATACGTGAGTACTATGACAAATCTTAAAGCACAAATAAATAAAATCGTCAATAGAAATTTCAAGCTACTCAAAGATAGATTCTTGAACCCCATAATCGCATCACTTGTTCTTAGATGCTTGTAAAATGCTATTAAATAATCTTGAGACGTAATGAAACTGAAAACAACATGGATTATGTATTCTGATATAGCTATATGTGTTACTCCAAGGAACTCCATTTTATTGATCTGGAAGAATACTAAGCTAATAGAAACGATTGCGCAATAGATTTTTAATAAATAACATTTGTATTTGGAATCGCTTATTCTTATGTAAGATCCTAGTATAAGTCTCAGAATTGTTACGAATAATACAATGCCGTTTTTAAATAAGGTTTTAATTTTATTCATTTTTTTCAAACTCTCCATTTTCACTCTCGTCGAACGTAAGAACTGTACTACTTTTAAAATTATTTTGTGAAAAAAATGTTTTTTTTTTTAAATGACCTTGGTTTAGTTTCATAACTTTGAAAGGTTTATTTCTGGTTCAATTATTGTCATAGTGAGACTGATATAATTATTGATCGATTCGTATAATAGTAAATATTGTCTTTGACGTATAATGTCACCGTGACCAGAAGGTAGGAAAATCTGGCAAGTACCTACCAATGTGACTTTTTCGAGTTATATGTACTTTATATGATTATTTAGACACCACTGACATACGGTGAAGGAAAACGTCGTGAGGAAACTTGGCCTTTCTAATTTCTTATAGTTTGAAATCGCCAATCCGCCTTCAGAAAGCGTGGTGATTAATGCTCAAACCTCCGTGTGAGAAAGGTCTTTGCTCTGCAGAGGGCGCTTATAGGCTGATACTCCCTTTATCCTTAACCAGGGCGGGAAAAACCACACGATGATGTCCTCCCCTCAAAAAAAGGGTCCTGAGTCGTACTATTTTGGATACTTGGTGGTTTAAACACATATACGTGTATATTTTTTTGTGAGGGGAAAATCATTGAATGTCTTCTCCTGCTCAGAGTCGGGCGGGAAGGAGTGTCAGATTCTTACTGACTAAAAATTCCTGGTCCTTGTCCTCCTCTGGGCCGAGGCTGAGGGTGACTCTTTGCGCTTATCCCGCGCTTATGGGTCTCGGGGATGGGAGGGGGAAGAAAGAAGAAGAAAGAAAGAAAAAGTATTTATTCGCGTCTGGGACGCATAAAAGACACAAAACGAACAAGATAATAAAATAAAGTTAAAATAAAAATACATTGAGCAAGGTAAAAACAATATCACAAAAGTAGACGGTAGGAGAAAAATATGCGTCCAAGCACGCGAAATGGCCCACGCTCAGCATAATGCAGCGACCCCGTACGAGACGGGTTCGCGGCGCTGATTTTCAGCGATGGCCGTCACTAACGCATGACGCCAATCTGCGCAGAAACGATATATATTAAGATAAGAAAATAAGTATTTAAATATGTTTTTTATAATTGTTTGAATAATAAACTACTACAAAAAAACAAACGGCTTATGATTAAAAAATAGAAGGCAGCATTGGGCCTTCGGTAACATTGCTCACCCGTCGAAGAACAACAAACGAAGAATTGATGACAGTCACAACAAAATGATTACAACATGTGTATTGATTCATTCATTCACTAGTCTTTGTGATTTAAGCAAATAACTCTGATCATACTTATGTATTTGCATCAAACGTCAAACAGAATATTATATAGTAAGTACATAAGGTTCAAAATCGAAATGGTCGGCCAATGTTTGTCAAATAATTGCTAATTCATGGCCAAACATAACGCGGATATCTGAGCAAATATGTATAGTGAGGAAATTGTCTGTTTAAGACAAGCAATGGAAGGTTTGGAGAAATTTAAAACTTATGTGTGTAGGTTTTGTTCGTAAATAGAAAAATATTGCTTTGTTTCATTTCAATAATTCAGTAGTGAGTACTGGATAACAGAGCTTTATTCGGTTATTACAGTAAGTTTTTCTGAAAATGAAATCAAAATCATTATACAAAATTTCATCGAAATCGTTTTAGCCGTTCCGGATATTTATCGGTACTAGATTATTATGATTGGTTTTTATAGATAGGTATCTTACCAGTATCCTCGCTTAAATTGAAAAGTAACAAGAAATATACCAATCAATCAAAATCATTAATGCTTAAATTGTCTAAATTATTTAGTCTAAATTATTGTCTAAAGTAGAAAAAAAAAGAAAAGTGAATGATTTCGTTATTAATATTTTTTCACATTTGATTTTGTAAAATAGGTACTTAGTTGAATCATACTTATAGAAGAGGTCATCTATATATTTTTTTGTATTTCTAAATTCAAATTTCTTTGGAACAATATTCATTACCATATTATGAAAACGCCGTCGCGCGCGCTTTACAGCTTCGATGTTTACGTAGGTAAAATATTAGCCTGCAAAATTTAGAAAGAAAGAAAGAAAGAAAGACACAGACTCTTAGCCAAGTAATTATTATATTTATTAATACACTGGCAAAAGACAGCTTCTCAGTATTTGGTATAATGAGCGAATTGCATAGTGATAAAAACGTAGACGACACATATGTTGAGAATAATAAATGGTAAGTTTGCGTTGACGGGAATTATTCGACAGATCGCCAAGTTGAATGGACGTCTTTGTATGTACTGTAGGGCTGTTTCCAGTTCAAATCGAAAGGACGGATCTGAAAATAAAAATAAAAATGGAATTAACTTAACACAAGTCACTTTCAGTGTGTGAGAGCTAAGCTTCGGTATGAGTGGGTCGGCTCGACTGGAGTGATACCACGGCCCCACAGAAAACCGGTGTGAAACAACCACAGCGTTGTGTTTCGCCGTGTGAGTGAGGTTACCGAAGGCCAAATCCTACCCCTCCCTTTCCCAATCCATAAATATCTGAATCCATTATTCCCAAAAGGCCGACAGCTCACTCGTAACTTCTTTGGTGTTGCGGGTGTCCATGGGCGGCGCCGGTAATCCGTCAGCTCGTTTGCCAACCTATCCCTTAAAAAAACAAATTTTTATTTTGTTTATTCCCGTAAACTCTAAGATAAATGTTTATTGTGACACCCGGTTTGATTTGAAACCAGTATTGCTTATTTTCTAACAATGCTTACATGTTTTAGACTGGTTTTAGAATCAATTATTTCTTATTAGCTTTTGCCCGCGACTCCGTTCGCGTGGAATAGTGATTTTCTGCAGATTTTTGGTATAAAAAAAACTACCCTATGTCCTTTCTCGAGTTCCAAACTATGTGTGTACCAAATTTTCCCAGAAATCGGTTCAGTAGTTTAGGCGGGAAGAAAAGACAGACAGACAGACAGACGGAGTTACTTTCGCATTTATAATATTAGTTAATTTTAAAATGATTTACGGTTGTTTTTTATCATCATCATCATCATCGACTATTCATGTAATATAGTTTTTTATGGTTGGAAAATCATCCAACGATTTGAAACCTGAACTACAACAGAACTTATAGGGGCGATGTTCAGCAGGGGTTGAGGGGCAAGCGCTGTAAGGTACTTACTGCGGCCTTAGTCTAAAGCAGTCGAACGGGGGAGGGAGGTAGGGTATGAAGTCATTTGATGATTATTTCCTCACGAAAAATAATAAGAAAAAGTTCCTATATACCCACTTAGGTTTAAAGCAAAGAGTATTAAATTACCTGAACAGTATATTATTTGCTGCATAAGTATTAGTGATGTGCCGGATCGCTAAAAATGAAGATCCGCGGATACGGATCTGAATACGGATATTTAGTGTCAAGATCCGCGGATACGGATACGGATACGGATCTTCAATTTCTCATAAGATTAGTGTCGCCGGCCACGCGCGGCCTTGAAAAGATAGTTGACGTCTCGCTCGCCGCAACGTCAGACACGACATGTTTTGACTTGCATTGCGCGGGTGTGGTGTCATTCATTTAATTATAGAAAACAATAATTATGTTTTAGTTATTTCACTGTCCTAAAAGTAAAGTTTTAACTTGTTCTCATTATAAAAATCTATGTATCTAAATGTTTGCAATATATAGGTGCAAAATATATGATTATTTAAAAAAACTAGCTGGATTTTTTTTTATTTCTACCTGATGATTAACTGAAAAAGATCCGTAAAAGATCCGCGTGTAAAATAACGGATACGGATACGGATACGGATTTTTATTTTTCCTCGGATATCCGCGGATACGGATACGGATACGGATATTCGGAACATCACTAATAAGTATAGCCTTGATTTCGTCCGTCTTGTTGGCGATCAACTCCACAACGAAGGCCGGTGACGTCACTAATATGATATTGAAGGTGATTTCGAATGTATTAAAGAAAACTGAATTAGTAGTACCCTGAAATATAAAAAATATGAAAGTTGTATGCGCGTTGTCTTTTAGGGACTGTATGTGAGGACAGAGGGATTTTGGAAGAGGAGAAAATTGGGCCTTCGGTAAATTCCCAATTCCGCACTCACACGGTGAAAACCAATGATATTATAAGTAAAACGGTGTAGATAGGTTACATAAACAACATTCCATTTTCAAAAAGGCACACTAATGCACACAAATATAAATTTTATGATACACGTTAAAGTGGGATGGCTTGATTCAATAATAGCGAGTGAAAAAGAGACAAATATGAAAAACTGTGGCTAGTTAGCCACAGTTTAATGTATCACTTGCTGAGCGCTTATATATCTACACCTTTTCAATTATAATATAATTGGTGAAAACAATATAATTTTTGAATTCTATAAACGTAATAATTTCTCAAATTTGAAGCTAGCATGTACCAGTTTGATTTTTTCTAAATTATATGTATGTAAGTACTTTCTAAGTTAATTAGACATCATTGACAAACAATAAGGGACCACATCTTGAGAAAACTGGGTGTTATAATTTCTTATTATAAGTTAGGAAATGTGGTGAATTTATCCGTATAAGAAGACGCTCAGGTGGGACCTTTTGGGCTGATGATGTCGGACAGAACTAAACTCTTAACTTACCCCAGTCATCAAATCACAAGATATAAAGTACATCCCTTCAATCCATCTGGGAATACCACATACCACTTCTATTGAGAGCTGAAAATATAAAAAAAAATATATTGTAAAAATAAACACGTTTTAAATCACATACCTTCGTTATCATGGCAACTTTAGTTTACATATAAAATAATTCTAAACTCGATAATATAATGTTTTTTACTACTAACTTTAATCCACAAGCCATCTTCAAATTCTATCATCAAACAAACTCAGAAGTACCATCATCATGATCATCAGCCTATAAGTGCCCACTGCTGAGCAAAGGCCTCTTTTCACACTGAGAAGGTTTGAGCATAAATCATCACGCTTGCTCAAGCTGGATTGGCGATTTCAAACTTATAATTACAAATTTATAAGTCCAGGCCTCCTCACGATGTTTTACTTCACCGTATGTCAATGGTGTCTAAATAATCATAGAAAGTACAATTTAACTCGGAAAAAGTCACTTGTCAGGTTTCGAACCCTCACATTATACTTGAGAAGCTTAACCTCCGGGCCACCACGACGATGAGAGGTAACTTAGGTCTAATTATTTGCGGTGTTTGGTGTCTTGGTGATACAACAATTCAAAGTGTTTGTAATTCTTGGGCTTGGAATCTTATAATTGCAGTCGACCCCATTCGTGTCAATGCTTCGGCACGAATGGGCGACTCAACTGGAGTGATAGGATAGAAAACCAGCGTGAATCAACGCATGCTTTGTGTTTCGCTGTCTAAATGATAGGTTACCGGAGGCCTAATTCTAGAATCTAGAATCCTCAACAACCCACATCAGGATAGCAACGCATTGTAACTTTTTTGGCGTTCTGTTCACGGGCGATACCGATTGCTTGTCATCATTCAGGTAATCTATTTGCTCGTTTGCCGAAATATGACATAAGAAAAAATTGTTTAAGTAATTATTGAATGGCTCTGGGCCTTTTGGAGGATTTTTTCAAGCCAGTATTCTGTGAGGCCATGGTATTACTTCGGTCGAGCCGAGCCTTTCGTTCCGAAGCATGGCTCTCCCACACAATTCTTTAGTACATATCGATTGTTCCGAAAACAATCACTAAGCACTGAGATAAGTAACCCACAAATGATTCACCAGTGAGGCTACAGAGTAAGCAGTTTAATAAAAATAAATCCATAAGTAATCGACACGTACCAAGATCTGCAACGGGCGGTCCACTATAAGCATGTTATCCAATAAATTGTTGTAGTATCTCAAACATTTTCTCACCATCTTTACATTATCCCCCAAACAGACACCGATAGAATTAGCAGGACAATTAGAATTGTTCTTCAAACACTTCTCGATTAGGACCAGTCGTGAGTGTAATGTAAATAAAAAGAAGTATACGAGAAATCTACTTGTGTCTGAAGATAGCAACATGATGTGAGGAGCGGTTCCAATTGATATACCCCATCGGTACATTGGAGATATACATCTAAATAAATAACCCAGCAAAAGCGTAATAGATCCAGCTGGATGTATAATGGCCAAATCTTTAACGCTCATAATAGCATCGCTAATTTTAATACTGTTGCAAAATAAGAACAAGAACTCTTGTGAGGTAACGAAAGAAAATACAAAGTGAAGAACGAATTCAACAAAGAGGCTAATGAAAGTGAATGTCAGAATGGGAGGTTCTACTTTTCTGAAGTTCTCGAATATTAAGGTGCCAACGATGATGGAACAGTAGATCCGGAGTGTAACACAAATGTACTTGGAGTCACTTATTCTTATATAATGGCCGAAGAGAAGTCTTATTGCTTGTATGAAGTTTATTAAAGAGATATTACGCATAATTTTGTAGTATTTTGTCATTTTTATAGATTCCATATTCAAGCTTACAATTTGTTTTGTTTGGTGCAGTTAAACACGTTGGTTGAAGTCAGAATGATTGTACAGATCGACCCAACATTACTAGTGAAGCTTCCATATTGATTATATTTATTTTTAAAGTTTTATTGATTTAATAAGTAAATGGAGTTGTTTCTAAAATAGACGCTAAAACAAATACGTTCCATAGCCACGTCGTAGTTATCCTGTGTATTAAAATGCAATCAATAAAATCACCTTGACAAATGAAGACAATATTTATTTAAAACTCAAATATAATTTCAATTTCTATCTCAAAAAACTTGCTTATTTTTTTATCTTTGCAATCAAACCATTGTGGTAGATGAACGATTTGATAAACAAAATTACCGACAAGCATCACCTTTTTATAAATTATTTCCAGAAAAATGCCTGTCTAAAGCAAAACAATGTACGAAGCCAACAGATAATTATGAAGAAATATATTACTGATATTTGCCAGAGGACATTTTTTTATATGGAGTTCTTTCTTTTTTCATAGATAAACGTCAAAATCTTCATAAGATACAGTCTTGTAATTTCTCTCTGATTCTCTGATTAATCAATATTGCTTTTATTGATTCAATGGTCTGCCGATTTCTTTTCTTTTCTTTCTCTACTCGGCAAAAATACCTGTCTCAGACCAACGCTGGCCGCACGCCTGTCTAAACCTTAAAATGCCTGTCAAATTCGGAAAACGCTTGTCATATGTTAACCCCACCCGCGTGGTATACTAATAATTATATAAAACAGGCCTATTACACACAGGACCCAGGACATCACCTATCTACATACCAAATTTCAACTAAATCGGTCAAATCAAATCAAATCAAAATCAGATAGCTTTATTTGCCGAACAAAGGTGTAGTATATAATTAGTGACTAAGGTGTTATTTATTTGAGTTACATATATCTTTGTTCTACCCATTGGGCATGCAAATATTGGGTACGTGGTCTAGCCGTTTTTGCGTGAAAGAATGATAAACATTCCCACAAACTTTTATATTTATACTACATATTATAGTAGGACAGAATGATTTATAATATAAGTACAATTAAATAAAAAAAGACATCGAAATACATCGCACTTTAAAATATGAAAGAAAGAGAAAAAAGAAATCATTATACATATGTATATCATCAAATAGCTAATTTTCTTTCTTTCTTTCTATATACTATTCTAGGTAAGCTTATAAAATTAACTTGCGTCAGTGACAAAATGTGTAAATTGTTCAGTTAAAATCACGTAAGTTATACAAGTGCCTAGAACAGAGACTGGGAGCCTAGCGTCCACGGTGACCGCTCCACAAATGATAAACTTATAAGGTCGGCGATGTATATACTGCAATGCTGTTTCCAATTCCTCTCGTAAAAGTTCATCTGTAAATAAGTATATATATATATATTTATATATAGGAAAATCCTAAATATTTCTCCTAATCCTAAATATTAAAGTCGAGAGTCAAGCGTCGGACCGGAATGATAAAATGGCCTCACAGAAAACCGGCGTGAGACAACCATAGCGTTGTGTTTCGACGTGTGAGTGAGGTTACCGAAGGGCCAATCTTCCCCTCCCCTAATCCCTAAACGCCAAATCCCTAAACCCCAAAAGATCAGCAATGCACTCGTAACTCCTCTGTTACGGGTATACATCGGCGGCGCTGATTGCTTACCATCCGGGAATTCGTCTGCTCTATATAAATATTTAGCTTTCTTATTTTTATTCTAGCTTTAAGATTCTTTTTTTAAAGGGCGAAATTCATCGAATGTTCTCTCCCGCTCTGGAAGGGGCCAGAAGGAGTGTCTGATTCTTTCTGACTAAATATAATCATGTTCATTCTCCAGCTCCAAGCTGGGACCGAGGAAGATTCTTGTCCTTTCACCCGCAACCCACAGCATAAGGTACGATGGCCTCCACCTAGGGCAGGAGAAGGAACGGACTGGTATTTAGTCCTAGCCATTTGATGATTCCCATAAAAAGACCTCTAATCTAATGGTGTTGATGAAGTTAGGAATAGCGGCTTTACGAAGGACCAATAAGCGTTGTGTAATTTTAGCGGGAAAATATATTTTTGTTAGGTACGTTACGTTGGATCGAATATTGGACGACACAGAAATTGAGCAGATGGAAGTGTGGGAGGAATAGGTGTAACTTACTTGGGAGCACTGGAGGGTAGGTTGGTGCACCTACTGCCGGCGTGGTCCGTGGATGATGACACGCACTCTTGGAGGATCTTTGCACTCGCGCTCGTTGAATTAAATCGATTAAGTATATTGTCCCACTTTATCACTTTGTGTCGGCCAACACGTTGAATTATTTTTAACTATAATGATGGTAGTACAGCGGTTTAGTTTTTTGAGCGATGTTGAGCGGTGGGCGGCTTGAAGAGAACAGGACGAAAATCATCATGGCGACCTTTGTCTTCGCGGTGTGTCGCTGCGGCGGAAACGCTTCTCATTGGCGGAGCGGTCCAGCACCCTTTGCGGAATGGTGGTAGGATTGGAAAGGAAGAAGGAGTAGGATTGGCTCAATACTGTGTTCCAATATGAATTCTATGTTTAATGTGTGAGACGCGTTTGGATACATGATACCAACATTTAATATTTTATTTATTTAATATAATATTTTATTCATTTAATATTTAACATTTCTAGTTTGCGTAAGCATCCTGCCCGGCTTTCGAGAATATGTAGTATTCTCAAAAAGGAAGAAATTAAATTAAAGCGGACAAAAAAAAAAATAATGATTAAAGTATGTGAACTGCAGCTAAATTAGAATTTTAATTATGCGGTGGTATTATTGAGAAGGTAAAGGACATAGTTTAACAACAGGTCTTTTGAAAGATCCACTGCATGTCTTCACCATGGCAACACGGGTCGTCCCATCCCTGCCGGGAAAAATCTCGGTGATTATGCCCATTGGCCAACGTAAAGGAAGGACATCATCTTGATGCATGAGAACCACTGTACCAATCTTAACATTTTCGGTGACATTTAACCATTTTTGACTAACTTGCAAGTTATGTAAATATTCTATACGCCATCTTCTCCAAAAACTACAAACCATTTGGTCAAGCAATTTTTTGCGGCAAGTTAGTGATTTCGTCGTTTCGGGAACGTTCGCGACCGGCAACGTAGTCAACGGAGAAGCCATTATAAAATGAGCGGGAGTAAGCGGTTCTGGGTACGGATCCTCATTCAGGACACAAAGCGGTCTGGAATTTAGAACTGCCTCAATTTCAGTGAGAACAGTCGAAAGCTCCTCATAAGTAAGAAGTTGAGTACCGATAACACGGTACAAATGTGTTTTAATAGATTTAATATTTGATTCCCACAGCCCTCCAAAGTGGGGGGCGCGGGGTGGAATCATTTTCCATTCTATGCGGTAGCGGTCAGCAAGAAGTTCTTGCAATTGAGCCTTGGCTCCAACGAAATTGGTTCCGTTGTCAGAATATAAATAAGAGACAGGTCCTCTGCGGGAAATGAATCTTTTAAAAGCTGAAATGAAAGTGTCCGATGACACGTCGGTAACCAATTCAATATGAACTGCTTTGGTAACGAAGCAAATGAATAAACATATGTAAGCCTTCTGACTTCTTTGGCCTCTGCGTCGACATAAGGTTACTTTAATGGGACCAGCGTAATCGACACCAGTATGAACGAACGCTTTAGTCTCTTGTACGCGACAAGCGGGTAAATCAGCCATCTTTGGACTGGGGTGAGAAGGAGAAACTTTGAAACAGAAGTTACAAGCGTGTACCCTTTGTCTGATGACACCTCTGGAGGAGAGGATCCAATATTTCTGACGCAACAGAGAGCTAAGAAGGCTTACACCGGCATGACAATGAATGCGATGATAATAGTCTATTAGAACATGTGTAAAATTATCATGTTTAGGTAAAAGCGCGGGATGCTGAGCTTCATAAGGAAGGTTCGCGTTTGACAACCTACCACCAATTCTAATTATGTTATGCTCGTCTATAAACAGATCGAGTTTCTTAAACTGTGAGCGAAGTTTTTTACCTTTAATTTCGGTATAAATGTCAAAAAAATGAAATTGTTGAATACAGCGAATTAAATAAATTTCAGCGGTAACTAATTCATGGACAGTGATTATCTTATGTGGTTTGTCAGAAGGAATAATATGCAAAAATCTCAAAATGTATACAATTATGTGCAATATTTTATTTAACGATGTAAATTTTTGAGAAAGGCTATATATTAAATTAGTTTCTGATACGGTAGATACTAATGTTAAAGATTTATTGTTAAACTCAGGCAATTGTTCGCTGCATGAAGATACAAACGGAGTAATAGGCCACTCAGTAGTTGGTCGCAGAAGCCACTCTGGGCCATGCCACCATAAATTATGGTTTAGTAAC